CTAAAACACCGGTTTTTCGTTTCTCTGAATCTCTTGACGTAACCGGAGACCGATTCATCATGCTTCTGCTTAACCGATGTTAGATGTGACAACTTGAGTTCATTGTCGCCGCTATAAAAGTGATCATGAGATTTCTGCTCTAGCTGCGACCAAACTCGAATGGAACCATGTGGTAAAGAAGAAAACCATGAAAATGCGGTACTAGTCAATGACAAAGGAAATAAACGCACTTTCAACTCATTCAGTGAGCCTGCCTCACCCAATTGTGCTAAGTATTGACTAACATGCTCCCATGTGGTTTTTGTGCCTTCTCCATTAAACTTAACAAAATCTGGAATTTTATATCCTGGAGGGCACTGGATGGCATCAAAGTACTCGGGGTACGGTTTTTGGTAAATCCGATTCCGAGGTAACTCGACCCCAAAATTCTCTCGAAGCATCTTAGCCATCTCCTCTCTAAGATTAGCTAGACCATCATCCATACTGGACGATGAAGCTTGTGGCAGTGGCATAGGAGGAGTATGATTACTAGCTGTAGGTAGGAATTGTGGCAGGTATGTCGACCCATAATTTGCTAGTGGTCGAGTGGTTGTAACTGTAGGTAAGGTTGGGTTCGGCGTTGCCACCGAACCTGGCATGCTCATAATAGGATTAATGGGTGCAGCCACAATCTGATTTGTTTGGGTAGGATAATAAGTCATCGGCACGGGAGGCGCCGATGAGATAGGTAAAGCCAGATTAGGGTTTTGCACACTAGCAGCTACACCATCATTACCACTAGTCGATTGAGATGTATTCTTCTGAGCATTAGTATTTTCTATGAAAGTTTGATAGACTAGATTGTTACCATCAGCAATACGACTTTCAATCTCAGCCCACTGCTCAGGAGAAAAGGCAGTACTTACAGAGGGTTTAACCTGCTTGGCTTGCAAAGGAGGGAACTTGATTTCTTCAATCGGAGTGATGTTGCCTTGGCGATCCTTCTTGAACTTTGCAAGGAACTCCTGCAAGTCCTTCTCCTCGCGCGCCTTCTTGTACTCCTCATAGACTTGGCGATGATCGGCCGATATCTCATCAAGACTGGGCTTAATGATGTTATCGGCGTCTACCTCAGATGGCTTGGGAAGATCAGACATGGTGGATGATGATGATTGATCTTCGTTCCCCAGCGGAGTCGCCAAAAAGTGTGTTGACACACGAACACGTCACGTGTACCCTCGACGCCGGGGGTGATGCACCGCAGCTCACGTCGAAGGAGACCCGACCAACAGCGCGATACGCAAGACAGTCGGCGGGTGCTTTTGCAGACCCGAAACCCCGCGCACCCGGGAGGGACCCCGTCAGGGATTGCGGCGGCTATGGGCTGCCCTAGGTCGATTCGCTCGCCCCTAGAGCCTCGGGATTCGCAGCTCTCAAACACGAAGAACAGCGAAGAATGAGAGAAAAAAACGGTGGAGAGATAAAAAGTAGACAGGAAAAAGTAGTATATTGATTTGTTCGATTGTGTGTTGTTCAATCGGCCGTCACCCCCAACATATATAAGAGGCGGCTGGACTTCCCGTACAAGTAAAGGATTCATCTAGGCTTTCCTTACAAGAAAAATTACATCAATTCGCGTCCTAGAGTCCTAGTTCTATTTCAACTCGGATTCAGTCTGAATCTGGCCCAACTTCTGTCTTCCTCCTTGTGCAGGCCGCCGAGCCTCCATATGACCTCCGATCAAGATGGCCCAAATATCAAACTTGTGCGCCTCGACGATACGAACAACTCTCATGTTGATCACTTTTTCAAATAAGGCCATCTTGAATACTTTTCGAGGTCGTCTTTACCTTCCAGTCGGACTCGGTCTTGCGGTAGACTGAATTATCCGAGTCTTGTAGTGAATTTGCAGGCCATATACTATCTCTGATGACGATGACTCCAAAACCAAAGTTTACCGTCTTGATGATACGCACAACTTCTGTATTGAACACTTCTTCATCCGAGATCATCTTGATAAACTTTTGGGCACATGTTCAGTTTCACTCGGATTTGAGCTCATCCACTCGGATATTAGAGTCTTTCACTCGGATGGTCTGATTGGACTTTTTCACTCGGATGACAATCTTTCACTCGGATGATGACCACATTTTCAGTCGGAAGACAATCTTTTACTCGACCGACCTTTTACTCGATCGGTAGGTTTTCACTCGACCTTTTACTCGATCGATAGGTTTTCACTTGACCTTTTACTCGATCGGTAGGTTTTCACTCGACCTTTTACTCGATCGGTAGGTTTTCACTCGACCTTTTACTCGATCGGTAGGTTTTCACTTGACCTTTTACTCGATCGGTAGGTTTTCACTCGACCTTTTACTCGATCGGTAGGTTTTCACTCGACCTTTTACTCGATCGGTTGGTTTTCACTTGACCTTTTACTCGATCGGTTGGTTTTCACTCGAAAGGTAAGCTTTCACTCGACCAAAAACATAGCCTGATCTTGATTTGTCTCCCCAAGTCTCATATGACCTCGGATTGAGACGAATTATATATGAAAATCGATCGGCTCGACGAGACGAAACTTTCTCATGTTGAAGTTTTTTCAATTCAAGGCCGTCTTGAAGGCCGAATTGCTCACGCATTGCATCAGACACTCATCAACATGTGTCTGGTGTCAAGCGTAATATTTTGGTCTCTGGCCTGTCCAGACCGTATTGACTATAACTTTTGCATATGAACTCGGATTGAGATGATTTATATATGAAAATTGATTGCTTCGACGAGACGAAGACAATTCCTTTAGAGCACTCTTTCATCTGAGGTCATATTGAGGGCGTAATCGGCCGAAAAGCACTCAGAACATTAAATTTTGTCACTCGGAGTATAGCTTCGGCCACTGAGATGAGGTCGAATGGCGATAGCCTAAACATCAAAGTTGTCCCACTCGACGATATGAAACTTTCTCATGCTGAAAACCCTTTCACTCTGTATTTTGCCAAAATCAGTTGTCAACAAACCCCCATTTCTCTGTGCCTCGTCCAAACATTATAGTGTGACATGAAACCCTTGTAAAGCAGGTGGGTGTGGAGGATTTTCCGGTCAGAGTAAGACTTCGTATTCCCACATATAGGGCATGGACAACACATAAAACCATTATGCTTGTTTGCCTCAGCCACTTCGAGAAAATCATGCACGCCCTTAATGTACTCGGAGGTGTGTCTTGAACCGTACATCCATTGCCGGTTCATCTGCGTGCATTATATATAATTAAGTGTGTCAAAAATCATTACAGAACACTAAAACCAAATTAATAGAAGTTCATCATCACACTAAAACCAAAGTACATACATAGTTCTCATCTAACAACATAAAGCTCTGGAGAGCATCTAAATTAATTAAACCATACACTGAAACTATGTAAAACATTTCAATGCGAAAACAAATGCGATCATAATCGCAACCAATGTAACAACTGATCCAACGGCATAATGATATCAAGCCTCAGTATGAATGGCATATTTTCTAATCTTTCTAATCTTCAAGCGCATTGCATCCATCTTGATCTTGTGATCATCGACGACATCTGCAACATGCAACTCCAATACCATCTTCTCCTCCTCAATTTTTCTAATTTTTTCCTTAAACAAATTGTTTTCTTCTTCAACTAAATTTAACTTCTCGACAATAGAGTCGGATGGAATTTCCGGTTCAACAACCTCCTAGATAAATAAAATCTATGTCACGTTGGTCAGCTTGTCATAAACAATAAATGAACCAATAGTTATGAAAAGATAATATATACCACATCCGAATCATAGACATGACGAGGCCCGACGGGGGCGGATACCAAAACCATCGCACTATATAAGATGCAATAATAAAAGTAAGAAAATTATACAAGTATCTATATAAACATACAAGTAAGAGGCTCACCACGGTGGTGCCGGCGACGAGATCGGTGCGGGCGATCGACGGCGGTGAAGACGGGGACGGGACGTGACGGACCGCTAAACCTAGACAAATATTGAGGAAAATGGAGTTTGGAGGTGGAGCTTGGAGAGGAGAAAGCTTAAGTAGTGTGGCTCGGGCATTCCATCGAACACCTCGTGTGCATAGGAGGTGAGCTAGAGCACCACAAAGCTTCCTCCTCGCATGCCACGAAAAACAGAGCAGTGAGAGTACTCTGCTCGTGGAGTATATATAGGCAACTAATTGGTCCCGGTTCGTGGCTTGAACCGGGACTAAAGGGAAGCCTTTGGTCCCGGTTCAGGCGACCAAGCGGGACCAATGGTGGTGGGCCAGGAGCAAGGCACATTGGTCCCGGTTCGTCCCACCAACCGGGACCAAAAAGTCCAGACGAACCGGGACCAATGGCCCACGTGGCCCGGCCGGCCCCCGGGGCTCACGAACCGGGTCCAATGCCCCCATTGGTCCCGGTTCTGGATTGAACCGGGACTAATGGGCTGACCCGGCCTGAACCATTGCCCCCTTTTCTACTAGTGCTTGGATTCCACGGTTCGTTATATGCGGCTTCATCTCTTCGTGGTTGTGTGCTAGGGGTGGTGTTGCTGCGCACAGCGCTTTTGTATCCTGCCTTGGGTGTGTGTGGTGTTGGCGTACGTTTGTATCGGATGATGTGGACCTTTGCTTTATATATAAAGCGGGGCGAAAACCTTTTTTCGGTAAGTGATTCCATGTGCAAGGAAGCTCTAGGAGCCAGAGCACCACTTGGGTCACAAAGTCTTCGGTCTCCGAGTCTCTTCCAGCGAAATCAACATTTGACTTTGTCAATAGACCTCCATTCCTATAGGTGTACCCCGAAGATGCATGCCATGTGCACATGTACATCAGCATCTACACTGATACCAGTACTTTACTTACTACATATCAGGATCCGATGCAGAGTTGATAAGCTGCAAATAAATGAATGCAGCCCCTATATAAATAGCAGCCAAGCCAAGAATCCATTCACCCAGCTTCATCCCTAGCACGCTAGAACCTGGTAACTACTTGCATTAGATATGAAGAAGTCTGGAAGGCTTGACTCCATCAACATCGTCCGCCTGCTGCTCGTCGTCGCGATCATCTGCGCCGTGAACATTGGGGTAGTCCAGGGAGGCAGAAGGTTTTGGCGGCGGCCTCCATCTCCACAAGGGCGCCCGGCCGCCCACGGGGTTTGCCCGAGATGTGGTGAATACGTTTCCACCACCGCCTCTACCGCTGTCGACGAAAGGAAGAACTCTGCCTCCACTACACCATTCCCCGACCTACGCCACTAGCCAGTTAGCTATGCTCGATCACCAGCTATTTCGTTCCCTAATGTGCTCCGCCGGCTTTACTCATTATTTTTTACTACGAGTGGTCAACCCATTTAATGATTTTATACTTTCTCTATTGTGTTGGTCCTATAATATGTAGTGATCTTTCTGAATTTTCGTACGGTGTTGACAGGTTTTTTCCCTATAGAACATGTGTCGACTTCCTGCTTTTGATAATAGAAAGGGGATCTACCTTGGTAGAAAAAGTAAAACTATGTGTATTTTGTATTACTAGCAATAGACCCCATGCATTGCAATGGGCGAAAAAATATCATACTCCCCTAACCCAATAATCAATGATTCAACATCCTAATTAAGTATCTAGGGTGGATTTGTAACTTGGACAAAAAAATACAGGGACAAAAATGGCCATCCCCCAATTATGTGTCGAGGGTGGAGTTGTAACTTGAGAAAAATGGTCATCCCCCAATTGTGTGTCAGAGGCTGAAGTTGAAAATGAGACAAAAATGAGTCGGATCCTAGTTGCATATCTAAGGCGGACTTGCAACTGCAAAAAAAGGTGGCCCCATTTGCATGTTAGATGTGAAGTTACAACTGGCCCCAATTGTGTGTCGAAGGCGGATTGCAAATAAAAAAGGGTCGAGCCCAATTCCATATCGTGGATTGCAAGTGGGAATAGAAAAAATGTGAGCCCCTAGTTGCATGTTAAGGATGGAGTTGCAACTTAAAAAAAATGCTCGCCCCCAGTTACTTGTGGAGGATGGACATGCAAAAGGAACATATCTAGTTTGAGTATCCAGGATGGACTTGCAATTGAAAAAAAGGTGGACCCAGTTACATGCCAGATGTTAAGTTGCAACTGGGGACATAAATGAATCGATCCCCATCCAGGACATAAATGAATCGATCCCCATCCAGTAGACTAGAGCACCTGCACTTAGAGGACTGCCCAAGATTGGAGTACGTAGTGCCACATGGAACAAGACTACTATGTCTGAAGACACTTGACATCTCATTCAGCTACAACCTCAAGACAATTTTCTTTAGCAATTATACTCAAGATGATACTTATCAGCTCCCAGCCCTCCAAAGGATGCGTCTCCAGGAGTTGCCACTGCTCCAGCACTTCCACAACAGGGTCAACACCATCACAACACCTGTGTGGAAGGAGCTCCACATCCGAGGGTGCTGGAGCCTCCGACGCCTGCCACTCCTAGAAGAACGCCAGCCGGAGACAGTGATGGTGAACGGCGAGGGAGCTAATGGAGCAAGCTCCTGTGGGGCTCAACCCTGCACCGTGACAGCTACGACCCCAAGCTTCCCCCTGAGTTCGCCTCCTTCGACGAGTGCACCGAGATGATCAGCTACATCAGATGAATCAACCTAGTCTCCATCAACACACCCATCCATCCATCAGTTGGTATGTTATTTCACTCTGCATATTTATCCTCTGTTCATCAACCATACATTCACTACTGTATTACTCCCAAAACACTAACTTCTTAACAGTGTTCCACCCTGGTCTGCAAGATGACACTTACCAGCTCCAAAAGATATGTCGCCAAGAGATGCCATTGCTCCCGCACTTCCATGACAACAACATCACCATCACAGTTCACAGCGCCCGTGTTGAAGGAGCTCCATGTCCAAGGGTGTTGGAGCCTCTGATTCCTCCCACTCTTATGTTAAGTGTTCCACCATACACTACAGAATGCATTCCTCAATACTACCTTATTAACAGTATTCCACCATACTCTGCATCCATACTGTATATGTCAACTACCCTTGTGTCGTTCTACCCCCTTGTCTCTACAGTATGCTATGCATCCACGACATACATGCCACCTATATACATACCCTTGCCTCTGTATACACCTGCATTCCGTCCATTTGATTATAGAGCTTTTTTGCAAATAAAAGTCCAATTTCCTGTGGTAATTGTCCACCGACCACTTTGTCCGCCGTCGAATTGCGTTTACTTTTTACTGTTCCAACACATTTTATTGGAGTATCAGCTACTTTATATTTGGTGATGTACGGGCGTTATTTGAGTTGTAAAATATGATAATTATCAAGTGTGGTTTGTACTGCCAGGAGGCCTGTGTATTTTACTTGATTCAGATAATTGTTTGGCTATAAGTGCTATATGATGCAAGGTCAGAAGGAAATCATTGGACAGGTCTGAGATGTGTAAAGAACAACAATATTTACTTTGGGTTAAGGTTACGAAGTAGCTTGCAAAAGGGGATGCAGATTTCTATTTTAAATTACATCATGTTTATGACCCTACAAATAAGTAAAGGAGGGATTGGAATCATTGGTGTAAAAGTATTGGTTAAATCCGCTCAGATTAATTTTCTAAATATGACAGCCCAGCATAATCAATTTGTACCGTTGCAATTGTTGTCACTTCTTTTATAGCAGTGTCGACAGCCTTAGTGAGAAAATGGGATGGCTGCATCAATTCCGACTGAGAGCGTGCCCTTATCAACAGCCTTACCATTTACATGCCCTGCTAAATAAAAAATATGTTGCTGCATGCACACATTTCTTTATCCATGCATTTCAAATCAAATCTAACTACAAGGCTCGGGCAGATGGCACTCTCCATACGAAAATTGGTAGGAAAGCCGCATGAACTTCTGGCAAATCAAATATGATGAGCTCAAAAAGATGAAGAAAAAGATGCATCTCACCATCGCCAAATAGATACCAAACAGACTAGTGTCATCATATGTACAGTACTAAATGCTGAAACTGAATGGATTGATTCATACTCCATCATAACCTGGAGACCTGGAGAGAAACAATGAGCTAATCCATTTTCCTTCATAACCTCGGCCTTTGTCAAAGGAGCTAATCCATTTCCCTTCATGAATGCAAATTAACAACAATGCACTTATGAGCATGTCTGATGTTATGACTTTCATGATTGCAGCTACTTTCTCCTGATGCCAGCGTCCAGGAACTTTAAAAGCCAGAGTTACATGTGTCACCTGCACAAAAGCAACATGGTCCTAGTATAAAGCAGAAGAAGCAAGGAAAGAAGCTAAGGACTATGATATGAGAGGATGGAAAGAAGCTAAAGATAAGGACAGTAGGACACAGAGGGTGGAAGAATCGAAAACGGAAAGTGTCCTTATCTCGACCAGTATATCGAAATCTCGGCCAGTATATGCAGACTTTGGTTCATGAGTTTCATTTCAATGTCCGAAAACATTGAAAAAGAACACTATTAAGAGTCGATTTGTTTTTTTTTGGCATGCGTAAATGAGCATCTTGGATGCCTAAAAAATTCAGGTTTTTTACCTTTTCTTAGAATTTATTGTTCACGTCCGAGTGTAGATGAGCCTGGGTCACCGCACCCAAGTAACTTGCAATTCTTCAAGGTTGTTTACCAGCCCATGAAAATCAAACCCCACATTTTACCAGTCCTCGAAGATCTAAAAAAACACAGCCCTTGAGGTGGAGAGATTGAGGATTGCAGCCAAGGCGGAGATGGTGAGTCTCGTACTCTGTAAGATCATTTTGGCCTGTATATATAATTCATTCCGAGGTCTACAAAAGGCAAGTTGGTACTACATGAATATGAGCGGTGTGCGACTGAGTTGCCCGGAACTTCCTTGACACTTCCTTGGATTCGCAATTATAGACAGACATTAAGCAAATAATGACTTTGTATTGAGCAAGGAAACAGGGAGACTGCTAAGTATTGGCCATTTTGAACGGCAACAACTGGCTGACACTAGCTGTTGTACTTGCTGTAACTTGTTAGGCAAGATGTATAGCTACTTGCTGTAAATAACATATCTAATAGCCAGATGGTGTTATACAAAGCAATAGACAGCATGGTAACCTCCATCACAACCACTTGCATCTCTGGATGTAAGAGTCTCTGCAGTACTACTCACAGTTTCATACGCAAGGTAAGAGCACCACTTGGGTCACAAGTCGTTGGTTCCAAGTCTCCGCCCGTGACGAACATTTGACTTTGTCAATAGGTCTACTCCAAAGATGCTACTAGTAGCAAAACCGATGATTTGACTTCCAATTGCCTTGGGGGATGTTTACTGATTGTATTAGTATGTTATATGTAATACTCCCTCCGATCCATAATAAATGTCGCAGATTTGAACTAAAGTTAGTTCAACCTTAGCTCAAAACCGCGACACTTATTTTTTAACGAAGGGAGTACTAATTAATAAGGGTATATATAACCATTTCGCATCTCTCTTGTCATAATTAACTTGGTGTTTTATTAGTTTTGATCATGTTTAGCTAAGGACGAGCACAGTGAAAAAGGAGTACATTATTTTTCAATTCAAAACTCATCTGATGACATTATTAAGGGTCATTTTACAAACCCCATAATTTTAGTAAGGTACAGAAACCCAGCCTTTTCAAAATAGCGTAATATTCAAAAACTTTAAATTAGCATGAACCAAATGTTCCTGGCGCATGTGCGTGGGCCAATTTGCTAGTTTTCTATAAAAAAAAACTATTAACTCAAGTGATTTCATGTGCAAGGAAGCTCTAGGAGCCAGAGCACCACTTGCGTCACAAAGTATTCGGTCTCCGAGTCTCTTCCAGTCAAATCAACATTTGACTTTGTCAATAAGCTTCCATCCTATCTGTGTACTTTACTTACTACATTTGAGGGTCCGATGCAAAGTTGATAAGCTGCAAATTAATATAGGCAGCCCCTATATAAATAGCAGCCAAGCCAAGAATCCATTCACTCAGCTTCATCCATAGCACGCTAGAACCCGGTAACTACTTGCATTAGATATGAAGTCCGCAAGGCTTGACTCCATCAACATCGTCCGCCTGCTACTCGTCGTCGTGATCCTCTGCGCCATGAACATTGGGGTAGTCCAGGGAGGCAGAAGGTTTTGGCGGCGGCCTCCATCTCCACAAGGGCGCCCGGCCGCCCACGGCCACGGGGGTTGCCCAAGTTGCGGTGGATACACCTAAACAGCCACCTCCACCGCCGTCCTAGA